ATTTTTCTCCAAAAATTCCACATCGTGCATGCGTTGGTGTTTGTGGAAATTCGAGTGTTTAAGAAACCTATTTTGTCTCACGTGTGCCCACACACACGTCTACGTGGAATCAAGGAATTAACGTGGAAGACTTTGGTATTCTAGACACAAAGCTTGGAGCAAGGACTGTTCGTGGTCAAAGAAATTCAAGTTATCATCCGAGTCGGCTTCCAGGTATTTTTCGGTTGATCCTTGAATGATGTAAATTAATGTGATTAATTTATTCGTGCATAAATTAATATAATCTATAGAGTATCTCAAAAGTTTTATGAAAAATTTTGTTATACACGATCCGCTGTTTTTCATCCCCACGCTTCCGCACCCGAATTCGATTCGGGAACCAGCACTAACATACCAGACTCACAGTGTGATGGCAACCTATAAGGATTGGGTGGAGGTTGCGCTCCCCCTGGCCAGCACAAGTAGCGACTAGGCCAGACATGATTACCTATTATGAAGTTTTATCAAATTTTATGAAAATTAACACAAATTATATTGTAATATGTCTTTAACATTCTATTAACTATTTTATAATATTTATTCTAAAATTTTTTAATTAATAATATAATACTAATTAAAATTTCCATCTAAATTTTTTAATCATCATATATATAATTCATTATTTTTAACTTCTTAATATTTTCATAGGTCACTTATTTTTTAATCATCATCACATAATCATCATCAAACAAATTTCATAACAATTTCAATCTAATTACCACAAATTTCAATTTCAATTCTAATTTACAATTCACAATTCTAAATCCAAAACCATAAACTAAATTCAAAATCCAAAACAAAACCACAACCAAAATACCAAAATCAATTTATAAAATACCAAAATATTAACTCACAAAATCCAAACCCACAAACACTAGGGGTTGGAAAATGGTATGGCGGCAGGGCTGGGAGGGCGACGGTGGCTGGAAAACAATGACGACGGCCGGAAAAATGGGCAGCGATGGCAAGGTGAAAACTCCATTTTTTTTAGACTTTTTCAGAATATTTTTCTCCACAAATGAATGATTTGAAGACAAAATGATATATTTACATTTTTTTTAGAGTTTTTGGACAGTTTTTAGAGGTTTTGGACGAAGAAGGAGAGAGAAAACTGAGAGGGTCACCAGAAAAAATAGAGAAAAGAGTTCTGCGATCGCGGTTATACAAGAGGATTTTTACGACGACATTATGTCGTCGCAAAAAATATTAAATAGTCGTCCCAATTAATATAAAAATGACGTCGTTCTTCTTCACCTCATTAATATTTATGAGAATATTCTTAAGGAATATACTCATGCTCATTTTTTGCGACGACTTTGTTAAAATGTCGTCGCAAATAATTTTAAGGAAACCACCAAAGTTTCTGCCCTTTTTTTGGGGAAATTTAAATTCTCAGTTATTTGCGATGACATTATTAAACATGTCGTCACAAAAAATAGTCGTCCTTGATAGAATTTTCTGGAACCCTTTTTTGTGACGACATGTGTCGTCGCAAAAACAGTCGTTCTGAAAAGAATTTTCTAGAACCATTTTTTGCGACGACTTTTCAATATGTCATCGTAAAAAATAAAATTTTCGTCTCTTTTTTGCCACATCACCATCAGTTGTAAAATCAATATTTGTGACGACATGTCGTTGCAAATAATTGACAAACTGGTGCCACAATTGTTGGCGGCATATTGGTTTTGGCGCCAATGGCTATTAGCGACGATATGTCGTCGTGAATAATATGTCTAATTTTAGCGACGATATGTCGTCGCAAATAGTAAAATTTTGTGCAACGAAATGTCATCGTAAATAGTGAATGCGACGACAAGTCGTTCAAAAATTTTGTTTTCTTTTTAGCAACGACATGTCATCGCTAATACTGTGATTTTAACAACGATAAATGTCTTCGCTAATAACCCTTTTTGTTGTAGTGTGATTTCCTTTATTTTCTGAATGATTTAGTTGCCTTTACCCATTATTGGATTATAATGAGGATATTCTCTCATTAACTTCATGCCAAAAGCTGTGCGATGACTTGCAAAATGGGGTATTTGATGGGTTGATCTGGCTTGCTGGGGATTCGTAGTGACTCCTTTGTTGGTTTTCTAGAACCTATTTTATCACATGTACGGTGATAAAAGAAGTAGGAAATCTGAACTCAACAAAAAAACATTAATGAAATTTCCGTTGATCCAATCAACATGTTAACAAACCAAAAATATTAAACAAATTGCCTATTTAAAATAGACTTTCACTGTTTTGAGTATATGACACATTAAGATTTTGGGTTTAAGTTATTATTTTGTGTTAGGAGAGATGGGCATTCTCAAACCCGTTCATATAAGGAGATTGAGTGTCACTATTGTCATATAATGGGGCATATTAGGAGAAATTGTGAAGAACATAAGAAGCATGCATCTTAAAGAAAAAGGAAAGCAAGAACCTTAAGAGACTTCATATTATGCAAATATTGCCAGTACTATGTATGAAAGTGAAGATGATGTTTATTCTATTATTATTGACAAAAATATTTCTAATACTTGAATTTTAGATTTTGGATGTTTATTTCATATGTGCCCATATAAAGAGTGAATTGATTCTTTTAAGTCCTATGATGTTGGTAATTTATTGATGGCCAATGAATCTAATGCTTCATCTAATGAGATAGGTATTGTGAAGGTGAAGATGTTTGATGGTGTTATGAGGACAATGACAAATGTTAGGGATATTCCTCACCTAAAAAGAAGTTTATTCTTTTGGGCTATAGACATGTGTTGTGAGTATTAGGTGAAAGATGGCTTATGCAAGTCAAGATAGGTGATTTAATAACCATGAAGAGTGAAAAAGTGAAAAATCCGTACAAGCTGATTGAGACGACCATTGTAGGTGGAACTATTAGGGTTGAGCCACGCCTTAAAAAGCCTTCTTTTATTGTGAAAGAAGTTGCATGAGTACAAGAGTGCAACAATATGTTTATAACAGTAGAAGAGGTGAAGGACAGATGTAGAAGACATAAAGCGATGAAGTTAAAGCATTATAGAAAAAGAAGTCAGTTTCTTGTGTCAAGTTTGATGAGAGTTTGAACTTGACACATGTTTATTCTTATTGAGTCTGTATCATCATCACCCCACCTTTAAGGGGTGCGATAAAGGGTGTCAAGATAGAATACCTAAGTTTGAACTTGACATAAGTTGAGAGGATTTGAGTTAAGGTGGAAACTGTATGCTATATGACAAATTATTATTTAGGGCTTAGTTTATTATTTTGTGTCTTTGGTATCGGGTTATGTTATAGCCCAATAAGAGTCTATAAATATGTCTTTTGTGAAGTTTTGGTTAGAGAAAAGTAAAGAGAAAGAGTACTCACATTTGAGAAAAATAATTAAGAAAAAAAAACCGTGAGAAGAGAAAAAGGTAAAGAGAATGAAGGCTTTTGGGTAGAGATCATAGAGATTGATAAAGATTGTTGAGTGTGATTTTGAAGTTAGTGAATTTTTCTCCCTCTTTAGCGAACATAGATCGTTTTACTGAACTACGTAAATATTTGTTATATTTTTTTTTGTTATTTTCTTAATTCAGTTTATTTTTCTCCCTCTTTAGAGAATGAAGTTTGTTTGTTTTTCCCTAACCCACTGAATATAGAAAGCCTCAGCTCCTGCAGACTATTGTGGGAGGACAACTTTTTCTTACTTTAATGATTAAATTGATTATGATCTTCATAGCTCAAAAAGGTGGAAGCAAGAAAAGACATAGGGAAAAATTGTTGGTAATCACTTTGGCAACAACAGCAGCAGCTATTTTCCTTGTACTTGTAGTTGCCCTGTTGTATTATTTCAAGAAGACAAAGCTCAAGTCAAAAGGTATATTCTTAGATAAATAGATGTATTTTTTCTCACTCTTTAGAACATTCATCTTTTTGTATTTCTAACGTATTTTGCTTTCATAACCTTTGTATTGGGAAGGGCATAGCTCAAAAGCATCAATAAAGTTTAAAGCAGGTGCAGGAGACTTTAATAAAAATGCTCCTGATCTGCGAGTCTTTAGCCTTGCCAACATTGAAGAAGCTACAGATCAATTTTCATTTAATAATAAGCTTGGAGAAGGTGGATATGGCCCTGTATACAAGGTAATTTAGCATCTATTGATTACTCTGAAAAGCAAAAATATTTAAATATTTCTGTTGTTTATTTGAAATACCATGTTAAACATCTGATTTGGACTTGGTATTTCTTCTCAACACCGGATATTTAAGGTATTTTTCTTTCAAAATGAACAATCACAAACATATATGTATGGTAATTTTAATTAGACAATTTATTGGTGAACAATAGAAAAGATATTATCTAGACGGGTGAATAGATTGACCTTAAAACAATAACGATTAGTTACTATTGCTATAAAACAAGCTCGTATTTTATGTTTGTTACCCTTTCTTAATAACGAGAAACAGTTTGAAAGAAGTGAGTCGACAATTAAAAGTAAATAGGCTTGCTCTTCTTCAGTTGAATCATAATAAAATTCCAATCCCAATTCTAATGAAAATTGGCGGTCTGTTTGCTAGGGTAAATTGCCAGATGGACAGGAAATAGCTGTGAAAAAGCTGTCAGCTTCTTCTACACAAGGCTTCGAGGAATTCAAGAATGAGGTTGTACTTACATCCAAACTTCAACACGTTAATCTTGTCAGGGTCTTGGGATGCTGCATTGAAAGAGCTGAGCAAATGCTGATCTATGAATACATGCCAAACAAAAGCTTGGACTTGTACCTCTTTGGTCTGTAATTTTTCCCTGATTTTCGAATATAGTAAATGATCTAAGTTATGTCTAAAGTAAAGCAAGATTAGTAGTAAAACATGTGAAAACATTAGTTGTTTCTGGAAATTTATAATTAAGGAAGCCAACACGGATTATCTAAGCCTATAGCCATGAATATTTGGTGCAGTTTTCTCTCTACTTTAAAAAATATAGAACTAATTGTTCATTACCTATCTAAATCTGTGTAGATCCTATTAGAAGGTTTCTTTTGGATTGGAAAAAACGAGTGGACATCATTGAAGGTGTAACTCAAGGACTTCTTTATCTCCAAGAATACTCGAGATTGACAATCATACATCGAGATTTGAAAGCTAGCAACATATTACTTGATGACGATATGAAACCTAAGATATCAGATTTTGGTATGGCCAGAATTTTCACAAAAGGCGTACTTGAAGCAAACACAAGCCGGATTGTAGGAACATAGTAAGTTGTATGCTTTATACCAATTAGAATAGCTTTAGCAAAAAGCTAGCTAGCCCTTTCGTTAAATTTGTAATACAATTAATGTGTTCAACGATGAATTGCAGCGGCTACATTCCTCCTGAATATGCTAAGCAAGGCTTATATTCCACCAAATCAGATGTTTATAGTTTTGGAGTTCTCCTTCTTCAGATCATAAGTGGCAAGATAAATAGTTGTTTCTATGGTTCAAATGAAGATTTAAGCCTCCTAGAATATGTAAGTTGTATTTACTCAAGGTTTTCCTTTAATTTTATCTTTTGACTTAAACCTAATCTATTTAGTGATGTGGAAAATATTCAACTTCTAATTATAAATACAACTTTAACTATTTCAGGCCTTTGAAATGTGGAAAGAAGGCAAAGGGAGGGATTTTATGGACGATTCACTTGACGACGCACTCTCCTCATGCAAGTTGTTGAAATGCATGCAAATAGCTCTCTTGTGTGTGCAGGAAAACGCAAACGAGAGGCCATCAATGTTGGAAGTTTCTTCGATGCTAAGAAATGAAAACGTTTCTATGGCAATACCAAAAAAGCCTGCTTTCTCAACTAGAAATGAAGTTACTCAGGAAAATGAAGATATACTTCCGCTTGTTAACTCATCTTCAGTCAATGACGCAACTATTTCCGCGGTGGTAGGCCGGTGATAGCGAGAGCTCATTTGCACAAGGCGTTCTCCTCAAAATTGAATACAAGCCCACATATTATAATGAGCAAACGATCTGTATTGGTGGAAATATTAATGGTAGGTTATGTCATATCTTCGAGAAAGTTCACTGCTCAAATCCTACTAAACATTGGTAAAACCATGTTTTTCAGCACGTTTGACCAGTGTGTTTCACATTGGTAAGTCGAAATGTCGCATCATCAATCTTTTGAAACAAAAGGGTCAACACAAGATAAGTTGTGTAATTAATCTTACATTGTCTGGAAGGTTGTAAGGATAGTTTATGAGTAAAGACACCATCTCCATATGGTATAAAGCCTTTTAGTGTAAAGTTAAAAAGTAAAACTGTGCGAGAATAAACTCAAATTGGACAATATCATACTAAATACAGTATTGGTCATTACACAAAACCTAATGTTCAAAGTGCATTTTCACACTTTTTAAGTTTGTTTTCCTTTAACTAGTATTAAAATGCATTACACTCACGTCAATTTTTGTTTCAACAATGCGGAAAGAAAATTTTTTACTGATCAAACTTTGACCGAGGTTAAAAGTCTGTTTTGGAATTAAAAATTCAAGACTTTAGAGTTTTACTTTTTTTTTCTAATTTTTCTCCATAGTCTGCTCAATTAGGGCTCTAAAATATTTCTCAGATAAAAATAGAAATATCTCCTTCTAAGTTCTCTTTATCTTTCTCCCTTTCGAGGTGACGAGGGATATTGGGTCTCAGTGATAGTAGCGGTGACGTGAGGGGGGGGCTGATGCAATCTTCTGAGGTGGGTGAAGATTAGGGTGGGATAGCAAGCGCCGGCAACACAATCTAAATAGTGGGTCTCAAGTGGTGGTGGTGCCATCTACGAGGTGGGTTGGGAGTAGATCTCGTGGAGGAGGTCTTGAGTAGCAAAAATGCGATCTAGAGAACCGGGTCACAAGTTGATCCGGTGAAGGGGTTCTTAAGCGAAAACATGCTGAGTGGGCCCTTAACATTGATGGCACTAACAAGCGAGCCGTATTGCAAGCTGCGGTGGCACGATTCAACAAAGGTGTGGCGAGCTCAAAAATCAGCAAGTGATGCGCCTCTTCGCGATGCAATCTGGTTGTTAGGCTTGTGGTTGGATCATCAAATTACGGATGCAGATGGTGTTGGAAAAACTACGTCGAGTGCGCAGCAAAATTTTAAAAATTGTTAATTAATGTCAAAGTCCATTAAGACCATATTCATGATGCTATATAAAATAAATATCAAAGATCTAATCACATTTTTAGAGATTATGAAAACAACACGTCTGACAGATTAAGGGCTTGTTCGGTGAGGTAGTTTTTGAGTGAAAAATTCAAAAAAAAGGTAACTCGAGTTACAACTTTATTTGAGTTCATGTTCTTTTAAGTTTGAACTCGAGTTTGAACTCGAGTTTAGAACTAAAACTCGAGTTCAAGTTTCCCCTTCAACTCGAGTTCAGAAACTCGAACTTAAGTTAATGAGCAGTATTTTTTCTATTCTTAAAAATACTATAACTTTTTCGTTTTAATTCTGATTGAGATGAGTATTTTCTATGCGTTGACAACGAAAAGACGAATAAAACTAGACCCATATACCCTATTAAAATTTTTCATCAGCATTGAGTTTTTATTAAAATACTATCTAAAAATAAATTTAAGTTTTGACTTACTCAAACACAAACTCAAAAAAGATTCTTATCTCAAACCATAACTCAAATGTACACAACCAAACACAAACTCAAGTTACAACTTCAACTTAAGTTATAACTCAAACTCAACTCAAAATCTACACTCAAATTACCTAACTCAAAAACATCAAAAGAACAAGCCCTAAAACATTCTAAACAGTAACAAAAGAGTCAACAACCGATCTTCTTTACGATTCTCGTTTTCATGATCAGAGTGCGAGTAGACAAACATCGTTCAATCTTCTCTTAATATTCTTAAACTTCTTATGACCATAAAAGAGTCGCACACAAAAAAATGATTCGTGAGTTTTTCCTCACAAGAATCCTATCAATAACCCCAAAAAGTCATCTTAAAGAGATATATAGTTAATTTTAATAGCCCATATTCCAACTTAAAGCCCAGCCCATAATGAAACCTTATGCACAGATTGACATCTAATGCACGGATTCTAATCCGTGAACACCTGAGCTTTTCTTTTCTTTTCCTTTTTTCTTAATCAAATTTTGTTGTATTTTGTGTTAAAAGATGGTGAAATTGTTGACTTTTTTACTTCGCAGATATTGGAGATTTTCAAATATCCCTATGCTCTTATGTTGTGTTATTGTGTTATTTCTCTGCAACATTTTGATGACGTTATGGATGATGATTACATCTTGTTTCACGAAAAAAAAACAAAAAAGAGAGACAGAGGGACAGAGTTAAAGCGCAAAAGAATTTAGAAGACACAAGCGCAAAAGAGTTTTTATTCACTTTATTAGCTTTGGTCATCTCATTTTTCATGAGAAAATTACAAGTTATTGCATATGTTTAATCATTTTGAGTTTTAAAAAACCTATTTTGCAAATCTGGATCATTTAAAATAAGTATAAAATTGAATAGTTTAAGTCACAGCTCTAATTAGTTAGTAACACAAAATATGAGCAAGTTAAGGAAATGTCATATATATGCGTCATCTTTATTCAATACAGGCAACGTATCCATAAATAGATGATTTAGTTATATTTGCAAAAATTGGTAGAAAATTTAATTTGGTGTTCATATTATATTGAAGATTTTAGAACGTTAATTACTTCTATGGCCACGTAGTTCTAATCAAAATATTTGGATTCCTTGACTTCAATATATACATATTTCTAGTATATATATTTTCCAAAATATTTCTAGTTCAAGTGCATATTTCACAAGAGAAGCAGAGGGAACACACATTCGCATATAAGTGTATATATCTTCAATATGATTACGTTAAACCAAAAAACTGGTAGCTTATTTACATATGATCAATCGAAATAAATCCCATAACTAAAATAAAGAGAAAAATGAAAAAAATTAATCGCCATATAAAGAATAAATCACTTGTTCAATGTTCTCCAATCCCATATACATGAACGGGATGAATAAATGAATAAAAAAGATCAAAACTCCAACAAGAAGAAAAAAAAGAGACGAAATCTATTTAGGCTATAAAAGTCACGGGAGGCGCTTCAAATCTAATGTAGTCATACATTAGACCTCCAAAAGGACCTTGACTTCTGGCTTGTGTAAGATAGAGAGTGTTGTTTCCTTCCAAAAGCCAGAAGCCTGGAATATTGACACTGTAAAGCCAATATAGTCCATGAATTCCATGCCTTGCGATCGAGTTGTCTCTGCCTATTCGATGTGTTGAGAACATTGGAGGGTATGATGGCGGGTAGTTGAACCGAACCTTTAATTTCATGACCAAAAAAAAAAAAAGAAATAATTAAAGCCCATAAGCAAAACTGATGCATATAACAGGCGGGTAGAGATATTAGGGGCCCGTTTATAACGTATACTCAAATTATGATTCTTGATTCTAACGTTTAAAATTTAATTTATTCTTTTTTTAGAGAAAAATAATAACTTGAGTTTGAGTATATAAAACAAACGGGATCTAAGAGTGTAATATATGATATTTATTTTATGTCAAAATGATTTAAAAAAGGTTTGATGATAATATGACTTTAGTGGTAAGGCATTGTTGTTACACTTTTTCAAAGTTATTGTTATTTAGAATAGGTGATATATTAATACCCTATTTCTTCATGTCATGAAAGAAAGGATAAAAACCACTGAAAAGAATTTTGTATATACCTGCAAATTAGTTGCTTGGGCTGAGGCTATTGCTAGTCGGAGCGTGTAGTTTTCATCCCACATCACGTTTTGAAGATTGAATTTGACCTGCCATGTGGTTTCTTGGTATGTTCCATTTCCCGTGTTCCTAAAATCATATAAGAAAAAAAAAAAAAAAAAAAAACAAAAGAAAAAGATATCAAATTAAGATGCCAGAAATTGCCATGTTTGGTATTAAGATTTGTGTCATAGTTCGAATAATGATTCGTGACTCGCTACAGTGTTTTATCTATAAAAAAAAAACACGTAAACTGAGAATGATTCTGAATCATGATTCTGAATCCGTAAACCAAACGTTCACTAAAATACTAAATAAGTCGAAACTAAGTGAAAACAACTGAGTACCGGTTGACATGAGCAAAGAACCAATCGTGCCGGAAATCACTGACTCCAACAGTATAGACGAGATCATTATTAGGATATAAATCAGTATAACGATCCCATAAGCCGTATTGTCTGAACCTGTTGAAAAAACAGTTGAAAGTTATATTGACCTAATTGAAATTCTACTCAATTAATTAGGAGCAAATTGCCCTAATTAATAAATCCTTAAAACAGTTGGCATGTATAACTATTTCTTTATACTCAAAATTAACCTCTGTTAGAGGTGAACTTACTTGTGGTTTGGCTTATTCAAGTAGAACCGGTTCGCGAGTGTCGGCAATGCGTCCGGCACATAGTACTCGGCAGCAGTGCGGTCGGGGATGCCAATCTCCCACAAAGTAGGACCATTTCTGGGTGGTTCATAAACAAGACTATCTAACTCAATTCTAGCTCCTGCATTTTGAAAGCCAACGATCAACATGCAATTAAATTAAGTGATATGTTGTTGGATAAAGCTTGAAGGAGATCTTGGTACCTGGTTCAATGCTAACTATTTTTTCATGCACATAATCTCCAATAACGCCAGGTACAAAAGCATATAGACTGTAGTTGCCGGGTCTGACATTTTTTATTGAGAAATTTCCACTTTCATCGGCTTTAACCCAAAACTGGTATCCCTGAAACATAAGACGGTAAAGGAAAATACCAAATCGCGTCAAAATGAAGCAATAATTCGGTTTATAATACGACAACTTGACTCGAGCTTATGTAATAGTTAACACAATAAACATCAAAATAACATGAGTTGACTTGATTTATTATATTTTTAACAAATTCAATGTAAATAAAGTAAAAAATAAATAAATAAAGGATTAATTATCGAACTTCACAAAGCAAATAGAGATAAATAATTTAACAAATTCAGTTAAAAAAAATAAATCAATTAGCGATCAAACTATTCACTAATCAATTAAAGAGTTTTAAAACTACCTTGCTTTCCCTTTGCCATGATCCTGCTTCTCCTGGTGCAGCTAAACCCACGTATGCAGAGCTAGCCTCAAAAAGACCCTCATTGATGTATCTGAACGAAAAACATTTTCTAGTCACTTTTACACTAAAGTATAATTTCGTTTACTCACAGATTAAGAGCTCGTTTGGTTCGTGGATTAGAACCATGATATTAGAATTATTTTCGATTTACGTGTGTTTTTTGTGAGAGAAAATACTGTAGCGATTCATGAACTATGATTCGAATCAGAGAACGAATCTTCCAACCAAACGGGACCTAATAATACGCATACCTGTCGCGGATTAGTAATTGACCGTTAAGAGTGCCACGTTGATCAGAGGTTGGAAAATCTTTGGAATGAATGAAATTGTATGGCCATTTTGCAACCTCATCTTGTGCCTAAAAGATACACAAAATATGTGAATTTATATTATGTATATTTATCAAGTCCTATATATGTAAGGATAAAGCTTGAAATATACCTGTTTTTTCGCATTTTCCCAGAGTGAATTGCGGTTATCTTCATCGTTTGATACCGAATTAAGATAAATTGGAATGGGACCAAAAACTTTTTTCCATGTCTCTCCTTTATCAAATTTCATGATAAGGTCCTTTCCAACGTAGTGACAACTCATAAATACCTGTATGAAAATGTTTTTTGATTCAGAATTACTAAAATATATATTCGATTAATATACCTTTTTTTGGCTCAAACATTCAACAACATACTTAAACAGAATAGTAATTATTTTTATGTCATTAAAATAATGACTATATCATTATATAGTACAAAATATAATATCATTATAATAATTACTATATGGCTTTTGTTATATTTATAATATTTTAAAAATTTTACTAAATTTTAACTCAAAGTATGAAATGTTGCATGTAATTACTTAATAGGAAAAAAAAAAAGTAAATGGTAAAAGGCAATTAAGAATTTGGGATCTTACACAAAGGGATGTTGGGCCGACATGGGAGGTAAGCTCTTGCTTCATGGGCCCAGTTGTAAGAAACTCATGACTTGGTGTGATCATCCAGAATCCCACTGCTGGGTTTGAACTAATCCAACCATGGACTTTAATGTCTTTGTGATCAATTGAGTATTGATATTTGTCATCGACCTACAATGATATTACGAAAAGACTTAGAGGTTGTTTGGTCTGGGGATCTATTTCCTGATTCAAATCATGGTTCGTTATTTGTTACAGTATTTTTTCTCACAAAAAATATACGTAAATCAAAAATAGTTCTAATCACATGATTCTAATTCATTAACCAAACGTCTCCTTAGAAATTGTAGGCTCAAATATACTCGAATAAATTCAGAAAAGAAATTTGTAAATTTAACAAGCTTAAAAGGATAATTACTAGAAAAAATAAGTGATTAAACTGGGAAAAAAAATACATTACCTCTCCTTTAAATTCAAGTTTGGAAGGCTTGGTCAAGAGAACAGCTTCTGGATAAGCAAGTTTCTCACCAGACGTACGATCACTTGCTGATGGCATTGTTCTTTGTATGTCGTCCGATATTGCCATGTATTGAAATCTGGCCATTGATTAAAAATTTCATTTCAACTGATATTTAACAGGCCCATTTAGAGGTTTTTTAGAAAGAGAAAGTTTTAAAATTTGTTTTTGTACTAAATTTATATCGTAAGAAATTTTACTATACTTGTTTTGTTGAAGCTTGAAAACATCCCGAACCACACTAATCTGCGCTGCTGGGGCTTCTTTAGGGTGCTCTAATATTGCATATGTATAAAACCCCGGATAGTCACGCAACATTATATATCTGCAATATAAGACTTGTGTATGAGAATTTAATTTAATTGTAATGATTTATTTTTTGATAAATACTTTACATATTGATTTGAAGTTATATATTGATCAGGAAAAGATCGAGACTTGAATGATACCTTTTGTCCACATTAATAGGAAATGAATGGGAGGAATCATTCCATCTTTTAGTGAATGAAATTTCTATTTGGTTCTCATCTTCGTTTATAATCTCAAACTTTGTTCCTTCTAATCTGCAAATAAGTTCAATTGGATAAAAACCATTTTAAATTTTTGAAAAAAAATTGAATAAAAGGAACAAAACTTTAGCCTAAAAATAAATAAAGTACCCTTTCGCTATTGCCTATGAAAATTTAAAATTTTACCTATCATAATGGTCAGCAATATTGCTCGTTATGTCATCACCCCATTCTATGTCCCAGTACCTATAACGTATAAAAATTAATGTATAATGAAAAATCATCAAAAGAAGTTAAATATATGGATATATGAAGAAAAGTGTAAAATATTTTCATTATACGATATATAAATTCAAAAGAAATCTTTAAGAAAAGGGATGAGAATACGACACATACCCTCTGTTACTTTTTTTGTTATGAATCTCAAGCAAGTTAGTAATGCCATTGTACTTAATTCCAATAACATCACCGCCGGGATTCGAAAAACTAAGTTCAACAAGGCCATTGTCCAAGATCACCACCTGAAATATCATTTATTGATATTAGCCAAAGAATTAATCTACCTCACTATACCTAGCTAGTGTACATATGTTAATGAGAACATACACACAATTCTGTAGCGGAAAGAAAATAATAATAATAATAAGATTTACACCATAAAAGGAGAGTTAATTTATTGATGTTTAGCATCAATTTATTGTCGTTGTCGTTGTTGTTATTGTTATTGTGTTATATTATAGTATTTATTTATTATTATTATTATATGGATAGGTTTATTTAGCGGTGACTATACGAAGATACCATTGACACGAAATTGACTCGAATTGATTTGATTTATTATTTTTTATTTAAATATATACAAATTTTTAACAAATTTTTTTTATTTAATTTGAATAACATGAAAAATATAAGATTTGCAACCATTAACAACGTAAAATATAGATAAATGGACTAAGTGAATAAATTAACACTCAAATAGTTTATATTATTACTGAAACAATATTATCCCTAGTAGTACTTAACGTTTTGCAACTGACCACTGAAAAAAAAAAAATAAATAAATCAATTATACCTTTTGTCCATGCTTCTGAGTTTGTACACTGATCTTGGGGGTGGATACTAATTCCCGGCCCCTAATATCCCTTAGAACTCTTCTGCAATCAAATATATATGGAACGAGTAACAATTTAAGATGTATATCAAACGTAAAGAATATTGATTACACATTTATTAGAAAATAAAAAACATAAGCTAATAATTATATATATTTATTAATGTCTCATAAACGGAAACATAAACTATATATTGTATTTAAGACTAATTAAGAAGATCAGAGGGACAAAAGGGGAGAAGCAAAAGTTGAGCAAGAAGAACCTGACTGGTCTTGTTTCTGATTCTGAACGACCAGAAATCAACAGAAACAACGTTAAACCCATCACCAACAACCCAAGAAGCCATGCACATCGCTTTTTCCAAGTTGAGTTCTCCATCTTCAAGTGTGCAAATAAAAGCTGAAAGACCAACTACGTGTATATATAATATTAAAACCATATCTATATATATATAAATATATTTCCAAGTTTTGTTTTGTTAGTATGTATAAAAGTTGATTGTATTAAGGTCATTTGAAGAAAGCGTATATTTTATCTTGTAGTCAAACAGAAACTGGTTCATGGGAATAGGGTTTTGCATCTTCGATCATATAAAGCATGGAAATATAATATTAAAACGACAACACTGTATCTTGTGAAGAGAAGTAAAAGGGGTAAAGAAACAATTTTATTTCTGACATTCAAAAACGAATTAGGATGAATATACGTACCGATAGGTTACTGAAAAATTTCACGTTGTTTCAACAGCGGAAGTATTAATGAAAGCGAAAGGAAGCTATAAAGACTTGAAGGGCTAATTTTTTTTTTCTTTTTTCCTGAAAACGAGATGTGAATTGTATGAAGTGAATGAGCTGATTAAGGCCTTTAAATAAAAGAAGAAAGAGTACCAAGTTTTTATAAGTGTTAGAAGTTGAGTAAGAATCGAACTCTAAATTACTTTTTTATGCGATTTATGATAATGATGACATATAATTCTAGTCCAAGTAGGAATGTATTGTTGTATTTTCTTGGGGGGAAAAAAAGAAGGAAAACGTATTATTTATCTTCACAATTCCTGTAGTTTATCAAGTACTGCAGCATGTATATTTCAAAAATTCAACTTTGACGTTTGTCAAACTAAGCTTTGTTACCAGCTAAAGGAAAACAAAAACGACATCAAACAAGAAAACAAATATAGCTTGCACGAGGATAAATTTTGCGGCTTTTGTTGTATTTTCTAGATATAGTTGCTGTGATTAGAATTGTTTTGAGCAAGTTTTTAAAAACACTTATGCACATCCTTTCGGGCACAAAACTGAAAACAGTCTTTGAATTGTGTTTATTTAGCAAATACTTTTAAAACGAAAACAAAAACAAAAAACAATAAGAATAGTTTTAATTAAAGAAATAGAAAACAATTGAAAGTTATTTTCTCTTTTTCTTTTTCATTTTCTAATATTAATCAACAGTGTTATATAATCTAAATTACTATTTATTATTTATTATTTATATTATGAATTAATTATTAATTAGTAAACAATTAATTTGTAAAAAATAGAAAAAATAGATAGTAATTACTTAATATTAATTTTTAATTATTAAATTCATAATTTTTTAATAATTAATGATTAGTAAGTAAGTAATTGATTAATTAACAAAAAGTGATTATGTAATATATTAATAATGGAATAATTGATAATAGGTTATTGAATCAATAATTAATATGTAATACATAATTTAGTAATAATTAACGATTAGTAATTAGAAATTAATTATTATTTAAAGATTAATTGCTAAAAAAGTGATCATGTAATATACTAATAATAAGTTATTGAATAAATATAACTAATTACTTTACTAATTATTTAATTAAAAGTTAATTTTTAATTGGTAAATAGTATATTTATAAATTTTTTTTCTAATACAATAGTTTATTACTAGTAAACTAATCATAATATGATCCCATTCATTTTACCGATTTGAGTTTAGAATTCGAGTTTTGCTACCGTAAAAAGCTCTTAGAAACAGTCACATCTAACTTTTTTGCTACAGTAAAAAGCTCTCACATAAAGTCACATCTCAACTCAAATTAAAAACTCGAATCAGCGAACTAAACGGGCTCATGTATATGACTAACATAGTAATTACTTGTATATTGGTTATTAATTAGTAATTTTAATTGGGATTATTATCACTGGTGCCTCTAAACTTTAGGGTCAGTCCCAGTTTGCCCATTGAACTTTAAAAACTCTCACTTTATCATCTAAATTTTGAATTATTCCAACTTAACTCCTTGTGTTGTAATTTCTGATAAAATTGATAGAAAAAAAGTGAGTAATGTAATCGCGTGGTGTTTCTGTTTGAATTTCTGCTAGAAACAAACATATAAGAATGACAAGGCAACACTAAACCTCTTTTTTTCATTATGATTTTAACAAAAATTGCAACAAAAGGGTTTAAGTAAGAACAATTTAAAATTCAAGGGTTATAGTGAGAGTTTTTAAAATTAAAGAGGTAAACTGGGAATTATATGCACTCAAAACTAAATTTTATAAATATAACCAAACACAATTTCACTTTTTTATTATACTCAAAGCAATCTCTTAAATAACCAACTAAACACAATTTCAGAATCAATTCAGTATGATTCTCAAAACATTCTCATTATCACTTCTATACTAAAAAAAAAATCATTTTGAAAACGTTACCAAATAAGCCTATTCTCTCTCTGGAGCTCGAGACGAACGATATGTGGCTGAGTTTTGAAAATTCCTGCTTGCCTCGATCTTCTTTGCAGTAAATTTCCATATCTGTTAATCCCTGCTCGGTTCTTAGGTTTTGCTTGTGTTGTTCCGTTTCCAATGTAGCAGCAGCGAGATCTAGTGGTGTCGATTTGATCTGTTGGGTTTGTTAACTCTTTAATTCTATTGGTGTTTTGTTATAGATTTTCTGGTGGCTCGAAAAGTTCTCTGTTAATAGAGTATAGTGATAGTAATCTTATTGTACAATTTGAATGCTTTTTTCTTTCCGTTTAATGTGGTTCATAATTACGCTGGAATTACGCTTGTTGCACTTAATAGGATGATGGGATTATTATTTTTCTGATTTCAATGCGTATAACTATATGTAACTCAGTTTATAGTTAAACAAACTCTTTTTTGTCATGATCATGGTCATAAAACCCTATATGCAATTGAAATATTGATCCACATTGGAGTCATTAATATTAAAATTCATCACAATATTATTGCAATTTTCAAAAAGAATTTTCTTTTTTTCTTTAAAAAAAAATGTCAAAAGGGTTTGTTGAATATGTTGTTTTTGCTAACTTAATTTTGTTTTAAATATGTTTCATAGCGCGAATGCCCGTGAACAACCTCGGAGTTGAATCTCGGTCCAATCAAACTATGCAAATCAATGCTTACAATCTGTATTTTCTATTGATTCAGGATGGGATGCCGTCAAGATTTTCTTTTCTTTTCATGTTTTCTTAATCAAGTTTTGTTGTATTTTGTGTTATAAGATGATGAAATTGTTCACTTTTTTGCACAGCAGAAGTGGAAATGTTCAAATCCCTATGCTTTTATATATGTTGTGGTATTGTGTCATTTCTTTGCAACACTTTGATGATGTTATGGATGATAATCACAGCTTGGTTGCAACAAAAAGAAAGTTAAAGCGGCAGAAGAAAATGAAATATTGACATGACCATGGCTAATAAAGGGAATAAATACTTTATATTATTATTAGGAAAAATTTTATAAATTTCTTCTAAACTTTGTTACTTGTGTCAACATGCTCTTTGAACTTCAAAATGTACATGTTGTGCCTCCTAAACTATGACTTGACTCCAACTTTCTCCCATTGTCAGATTCCGCCAAGCTTTTTTTTTTTTTAATGGAAATGCTTATGAATTCATTTTAAATTTTGTCACTTGTGTCAACATGTCCTCTAAACTTTAAAATGCATACCCTTAAACTATGATTTGTCTCCAATTTTTCAAACAGAAATGTTAATATGGCCATTAAATTACTAATTATATATGATATTTGAGATTTATTGAACACCTTTCCCTCCAAAAACATTAGTTAGACACTAATTCCTAAAACATTAGTTGGTTAGAGACAATAAAGAAGGAAAAATGAGAAGCAAATCCATATAATGTAATGAGTTTTGTTATTCTTTTATTTTTTTTCCTTAATAATATTTAAACCAGATGGAAGTGCTTGACCTAAAATATGTTTATGTTTTATATGTAGCATTTTTAAATCTAAATATGTTTAGTTCATTGTGGTTTTTTTTTTTTAGAGAATTCAAGAAAAACTTTAAGAAATCCATTAACTTAACAAACTTTAAAAAGAAAAATTTTGCACCCTAAAAAAAACACGTAATACAAAATTCTAGAATGAATCTATCCTCTACATTAAGAAACCTATTAATTTAATAAACTCAATTCAAACAAAAAAGGAAAAAAAAAAACAAGAAATTAACAAATTCATTACCTGCTCCTCATATTTTTCCATTTTCATTGCCTCTAACCAACTAATGTTTTAAGAATTAGTGTCTAATTAATGTTTTTTTTTTTAGGAACGGCATTTAATAAACCCTAAAATACCATACATAATTAATAACTTAATGATCATATTAACATTTTCGTTTAAAAAATTAACAAAATCAAGATAAAAAGGGGAAAAGTTGGGAAAAAAAAATAGTGAACATATAAGCACAATTAGAATTCTATCGGGTCATCCCATCTTGAGAAAAACAATCCAGGTTGATATGTGGGCAGGTTAAGTGGCTGAAGTAGATTTTGGATCGGCTCATTTTGTTATTTCTACCTCCATATCCATCATACGATGTTGATTCTCCTTGTTAGTACTTGCAAGTGTTGGACTTAGTTAGGGTGTGTTTAGGATTGTTTTGAAATTCCTAAAAGCACTTTGCACAATAAATGTTGCAATTATAATATTGATAAAGGTGCACAAAAACACTTTGTACATAAATTAATGCACTTTTTAAGTTATTTTAATAAGTTAGAATGTGTGGCTTTTAAATTTTGCTTTTACTTTAAGTAAAACTAATATTTCTACTAAAAGAATAACAATTATTTTAAAAGCACAACAACCCTAAACCGGCTCTTAATCTCTAAACTTAACCGCTATCTTGTGACTTCTTTTGAGCGATAAGACTGTCACAGTTAAAGCCGTACCTTTTATACTATTTAACTCACCAAAACCTATGAGTGAGTAAATCTAAGGATTAAGAATAAGGCATTCTTACATATTTTTCTTCTACCTGACTTTGCCATCTCTGTTTAGCGGTCTAATGAGTAGATCTGAAAAACTTTAAGGTACTCACGTGAACTCGTGGAGT